CCACCCCCACCCCCTGGGACTCCTGCCCCATCCAACCCCCCATGTTCCTTGTTGCCCCCCCTTCCAGGATCCCTGCCCCATCCATCCCCCTCCCCTGACTGCCCCCAGAACCGGGAAGGAGGGTCTCGTGGGCCACCATAGTGGGTGCCCACCCCACCCCACCCCTAAGAGCCAGAGGGACCTGCCAGGGGACAAGGTGGGGAGTCCCAGCGGTGCTTACCTGGGGCAGCTCCCAGGAAGCATCCGGCAGGTCCCTCTGGCTCCTAGGGGTGGGGGAGCATAGCTGGGGGGGGAGCAGGGGGAGTGGCCGCTCTCCCCACTGATCACATCAAAAGTGGCGCCTTAGGCACCACTCCCTGGAGCACCCACGGGGAAAATTTGGTGGGTGCAGAGTACCCACTGGCAGCTCCCTGCCCCACCCCCGGCCCTAGCTCACCTCCGCTCCGCCTCTGCCCCTGAACATGCCCCCCTCTTCCCATGAATCAGCTGTTTGGCAGGAAGCCTGGGAGAGATGAGAAGCAGGCGGCGGCTTCACACTCAGGCCGAGGGTGGCGGAAGTGAGCTGGGGTGGGGAGCGGTTCCCCTGCACCCCCCCCCCCCCGGGGTTACCTGCTGCGGCGCGGGCAGCCCTCCTCGTACCCCCCCTCGCCCCAGCTCACCTCCACCTCCCTGGGCCTGAGTGCGAAGCCGCTGCCTGCTTCTCAGCCCGCCCCAGCTTCCCACGCGAACAGCTGATTCACGGAAAGCTGGGGGTAGAGGGGGCGCGGAGAAGCAAAGTGGGGCGGCACATTCAGGGGAGGAGGCGGAGGTGAGCTGAGCTGGGGCTGGGGAGCTGCTGGTGGGTGCTTTGCACCCGCCAAATTTTCCCCTTGGGTTCTCCAGCCCTGGAGCACCCATGGAGTCGGCGCCTAAGGCGCCACTTTTGGCCGGTTAAATTTAGAAGCCCTTTTAGAACCGGTTGTTCCGCGAGGGACAACCGGTTCTAAAAGGGCTTCTAAATTTAACAACCGGTTCTAGTGAACCGGTGGGAACCAGCTCCAGCCCACCACTGGGGATAACTAAGTATAACACAGTCAGACAATGAAAGAACCCAATTTCCAAAGGTAAACTATATTTTCCATGCTGCCTGTTAACTATCATGTAGTGGGTCACTGGTTTCTGAAAACATTTCAAAGCTAGTGTAGATCAGCTCTGTCCTTGATAGGAACTGAATGGCTGGCCTACATATAGAGCCAAGTATGTGGGAACAATCTAGTGGAGGATGCTAGGATTCCATTACTGGAAGCCACCATTAAGAAACATACTCAGACTGAAAAATAAACTGGAAATAGCACAAGAAAATTTGATAGTGTCATTTGTCATTAATTTTCTGAATCTCTGGGTACACAGAATTGTCTTTAAAATCCCCCAATATGCTTGCTTATGCAGTCTAAGTCATCCTTATCAGCTACAATAACAGAGATGATGGAGAGGAAAACTGGTTAACACACAAAAGGCTATCCCTTGTATAGTTTTAACATTCCCCTGTCACTGTGTATTATGGAATGATAATAATGCTTTATCTGCCATGTTCCTATAGAAAAGCTATTCTGAGAAATAGGAGTTTAACAGTAATAATATTAGAAACATTTTTTCACAGAGTTCACCACCAAAAGTCTACCAGGACAGCTGTATAGAACAGTTACCTACATGTCAAGAAAAACTTCATTCCAGTATCTTTCATTAATATTTGATTGAAAATGTGATGGTCAGTAATTTATAAGTCAAGAGCTATGAAGGGAAAAAAGAGCAGTTTTTTGTGTATGTATTTTTGACTAATAATAAACAGTTATTTATTAACGATCTCCCCTTGTTGGCTACCATCATTATGGATGTATTCACTGGATCATTTAACAGGAGCCAGCCTGAAGAGCTAGAATTGTGGGGACTCTGGGCTTACTTCATCAGCAGTAGAAAAAAAAAAGGGGGTATTACCTGTATCCACTCCAATTCAAGTATTGGACATATAACAGTGCTTTCTGCAGACCTTTAACCTTTGAGGTTAGATTTATGTCAAGGACAGGGCAAAGTTAGTCTTAAAACCTCCCACCATCTCCTTCTCACAAGCTGTTTTTACCAAGATCGCTGCTATTCCATACCACTGCCCTCACAGCCATTCATCTTCTTCTTAGCGTATGTGCAACATGCCTCAGGTGGCACGTGACCAGGATTCATCACCGAATTTGGTCCGCTAGTTGGATCATTAGCTTCCCCGGCCTGGGCCAGGTACTGACAGGGAGTGCGACGTGAACGTTGATCCATGCCCCCTACCGCCGTTCATTTGATACCCCTATTTGCTGACTGTAGCGCAGTGGCTTTCAAAGAGGGGTATGCGTACCCCTAGGGGTACGCAGAAGTGTTCTGGGGGTACATCAACTCATCTAGATATTTGCCTAGTTTTACAACAGGCTACATAAAAAGCACTCAGGCAGTCAGTACAAACTAAAATTTCATACAGACAATGAAATTGTACTGTATATACTATACACTGAAATGTAATTACAATATTTATATTCCAACTGACTTATAAGTATATGGTAAAAGTGAGAAAGTAAGCAATTTTTCAGTGATGTGCTGTGACACTTCTGTATTTTTAATGTCTCATTTTGTAAGCTAGGAATTTTTAAGTGAGGTGAAACTTGGGAGAACACAAGACAAATCAGATCCTGAAAGGGATACAGTGGTCTGGAAAGGTTGAGAGCCACTGACATAGAGCACACAGGAGTAGAGAGCCCAGAAGCATGGGAGAACAAAATTCAGTGGCAGCAGATACCTTAGCAAAGAAGCAACTTAAAAAACTGCATTACTGTTTGCAGCTATCCCACCGTCTTTGCTCTGAACCAGTAAGATCTCGCAAACTGAGCTGAGGCTGCTGTACAGTTCTTGGATGGGAGACCTCTACAACAGCAGTTCTCAGCCCAGGGCCCCAAGCAGGGCTACCATTAGATTTGCTGGTACCCCATGCAGAAAGCCAAAGCCCCAGTATGTGGGGCTGAAGCCCAGGGCTGCGAGCCCCGCCACCTGGGGCTGAAGCCGAAGCCTCAGCAATTTAGCGTGAGGCCCCAAGCAATTTCCCTGCTTGCTATCATCTAACATTGGCCCTGGTTTTATATACAGAAGAATAACTGGTTTCAGAGTAACAGCCATGTTAGTCTGTATTCGCAAAAAGAAAAGGAGTACTTGTGGCACCTTAGAGACTAACCAATTTATTTGAGCATGAGCTTTCGTGAGCTACAGCTCACTTCATCGGATGCATACTGTGGAAACTGCAGCAGACATTATATACACACAGAGATCATGAAACAATACCTCCTCCCATCCCACTGTCCTGCTGGTAATAGCTTATCTAAAGAGATCATCAAGTTGGGCCATTTCCAGCACAAATCCAGGTTTTCTCACCCTCCGCCCCCCCCCCCCCACACACACACACAAACTCACTCTCCTGCTGGTAATAGCCCATCCAAAGTGACAACTCTCCCTACAATGTGCATGATAATCAAGGTGGGCCATTTCCAGCACAAATCCAGGTTTTCTCACCCCCCCATACACACACAAACTCACTCTCCTGCTGGTAATAGCTCATCCAAAGTGACCACTCTCCCTACAATGTGCATGGTAATCCAGGTGAGCCATTTTCAGCACAAATCCAGGCTCTCTCACTCCCCCCCCCCTTTTTTTTTTTAGCTGTGGCACAGGGGGGCTGTGAAGTGTTTTTGGAGAACGTTGAGCGGGGCGCAGAAAGAAAAAGGTTGAAAACCTTTGCTCTATGGAACATGTACACCTGGGACTTGTACCAGAAACATCCATATGATCTGACCACACAGCTCTGTCAGAAGTACCAAATATAAATGCCAATACTTTCAGATGAAATGGCTGACAGCTTCTGACCGTTCATGGTCACCAAAGACACTATAGGTGCTGCTTCCCTCATGCAGCAGCATGTTGCCAGCTTGCAACTGGGGCAAGAAGAAAATGGGGACACAGTCCCACCTTCCATAAATTCTGGCAGTTTGCTTTTTCATTTGAGGGGAAGGGATTAGGATTTGTATTAAAGGGTTAGATTTTGGGTATTATCTCTACTTTACAGTTGGAAAAAGTGGACAGTTTAAAACCATTGCGAAGTCAAGGCTAAGATTCTGGAGTTCCTGGGCTCCTCACTCTGCTAAACACTCTAGAACAATCTTCGAGTTACAGTGGTGGGCAGCCTGCGACCTATGGGCCACATGCGGCTCATCAGGGTAATCTGATTGCGGGCCGCCAGACATTTTGCTGATGTTGACTGTCCGCAGGCACGGAGCCACGCAGCTCCCATTGGCCACGGTTCACCGTTCCTGCTATTAGTGGAGTTAGGGCCAGATTTTTAAAGGTTTTTAGACACTTGAAGATGCACCTGGTGGGAATTTCAAAGGCACCACATCTTCAGGTGCCTAAAAACCTTTAAAAATAGTGACCTAGTAGTGCCACTGAGTTCAATGGGAGTAATCAAGTACTATTCAGCAGGAGTGAGAGTGACAGAACTGGGGTATAAATTATTAACAAATGTGCATTTTTAGTGATAGGTATTAAATTACTCTGATAAGATATGCTCTTGGCAGCATGACCCATCCATGAGATCATGAGATGGGGTTTTGGATTAGGCCCCTAAAGACATAATTTATACCCTGAAGCTATGGAAAACTTTGGATAATTACTGCAACACGTGGAAGGGTTATCCACAGCAAACAGCTGACCTCATTTTACCAATTCTTCTCATCGGTATTAACATTAGATCCGTACAACATTAGTGACTGAAGGAAAACAAACGGACAGGACAGAAAACTTCCAGGGCGCCCGCCCTGGTCTTCACCCTCCATAATTATACAGTTTATTATTGAGTGAAATGGGATTTTTTTTCAAGAGCTGGCACTAGAGCCCGTCCAGCCCCGGTACCCCACGAAGAAAGAAGAGAGCGGGGTACTGACCGGGGCAGATCCTTGGCTCCTCGTGGACGGACGACGGATCACTCAGGGAGGGTCTGTGTGTGTGCAGCTGCTCACCACGATTTCCGCCCTGGTCCACCCGCCAGGCGGCGGCGGCGGCTGCCCCAGGGAACACAGTCACGCCGGAGCACCCACAGCTCGCTGGCCCTCGGCGCTGGAGGGCCGCCTGGTCACCCTCCCGCCCACGGGCAGTGACACAACCAGCCCCGGCCCAAACTCTTTACGGGGGCAGCCGCCCACCCCGCTACAGAGCCCAGCTCGCGGGGCTCAGGCCAAGGCCACTTACAGCGGCGCAGCAGGGACGCCGCGGCGGGCGAGGCAGGAGCGAGCGAGCCCGGCGCTCAGCAGCCCGCCCAAGCCGCGGGGTTATTTCCAGCCTGGGAACAGCGGGCGTCCCCGGAGCACGGAGCCGGCCCGCGAGCGCCCGGGCAGGGGGAGAGCGCCCCCTCCAGGCGCTCCCCGGCCTCCCGCCGGTCAGCAAGGGAGAGGGCGGCAATCCCCGGGGGCGGTGGGAGGAGAGGCAGAAGCAGGTCATGACTCATCACAGCGCCCTGCTCTGGGGGATGTGACTTTTCCCCCGGCTCGCTGACCTGCCGCAGGTGGGGCTGCAGCAAGTGCATTGTATGCCAGGGAGCCCCCCCGCCCCAGCAGAGCGCCTCTTGGAACCCACCTGTTCCTGCCCCCCCCCATAGGCTGTAGGTTTAAACATGAAGCAAAACAAGAACAGGATTTCTAGGCTGCGGTGCAGGCACCGAGGAAAGAGCAGTGAGCTTCAAGTCCCGAGCCTGATGAATAACTTAAAAATCAGCTAGATACTATGCTCCTCATACATCCTGAAATTCATGCTAGTCAACGAACATATTTATACATAATGAATCAGCCCAGCTCCAGCTTTCATATACATGTGACATTTAAATGATATCGATTTTAAGGTCAGAAAGGGCCATTATGATCATTTAGTCCAGTGGCTCTCAGCCTTTCCAGATTACTGTACCCCCTTTGTACCCCAAGTTTCACCTACTTACAAACGACTTGTTTACAAAATCAGACATAAAAATACAAAAGTGTCCCAGAACACCATTACTGAAAAATTGCTTACCTTCTCCTTTTATATAATTATAAAATAAATCAATTGAAATGTAAATATTGTACTTACATTTCAGTGTACTGTATATAGAGCAGTAGAAACAAGTGATTGTATGAAATTTTAGTTTGTACTGACATCGCTAATGTTTTTTATGTAGCCTGCTGTAAAACTAGACAAATATCTAGACGAGTTGATGCACCCCTTGGAAGACCTCTGTGTACCCCCAGGGGTATGCGTACCCCTGGTTGACACCACTGATCTAGTCTGACCTTCTCCATAACACAGGCCAAAGAATTTCATCCAGTCAAGACCATCAACTTGTGTTTGAACTAGAATATATCTTCATAGAGCAGGGGTGGGCAAACATTTTGGCCTGAGGGCCACATCGGGGTTCCAAAACTGTATGGAGGGCCGGGTAGGGAAGGCTGTGCCTCCCCAAACAGCCTGGCCCCGCTCCTTATCTGCCCCCCTCAGAACGCCTGACCCATCCACCCACCCCTGCTTCTTGCCCCCTGACCGCCCCCTTAAGGGACCCCCACCTCTAACTGCCCCCCCAGGACCCCACCCACTATCCAACCCCGTTGCTCCCTGTCCCCTGACTGCCCCAACCCCTATCCACACCCCCGCCCCCTGTCAGGCCCCTGGGACTCCCATGCATATCCAATCACCCCTTTTCCCTGTCCCCAGAACCCTCACCCCATCCAACTGCTCCCTGCTCCCTGTCCCCTGACTGCCCCCGGGATCCCCTGCCCCTTATCCAACCCCCTCCCTCCCCCGCAGTCCCCTTACCATGCCGCTGAGAGCAGCAGGACTGGCAGCCACGCTGCCCGGCTGAAGCCAGCCACGCCACTGTGTTGCCTGGCAGGAGCTCACAGCCCTGCCGCCCAGAGCGCTGGCAGCGCGGCGAGCTGAGGCTGTGGGTGAGGGGGGACAACAGGGGAGGGGCCGGGGGCTAGCCTCCCTAGCTGGGAGCTCAAGAGCCAGGCAGGACGGTTCCATGGGCCAGATGTGGCCCGTGGGCCGTAGTTTGCCCACCTCTGTCATAGAGAGTCATCCAGTCTTAATTTAAACATATAAATAAAACATACTTTTATACATCACTGTAGATATAATATGATCCTTGTCAGAATGATTTAGTGTGGAAATATTGTGGAAGATGTTGAATAAGTTTGTCTGCTATTATTGGAGCAGCAGGCTTCAGGATTATCGAGGTCAACTGGTGAACCTGACCAGCACTTCTTCCCCCCGAAAACAAACAAACAAAACAAACAAACAGTTCTGATTTCAGATTCGTTCGCTCTGGTATTGGCATACAAAAGGTATATGACAACTTGCAGGCAATGATGATATTCTGCTACTTTCACTGGCTGGCACCCTTAAAATATTTTTTAAAATACCTAATGCACTGAGGTGTGTCAAGTAGCTTTTGCACCATCTGATGTGTGATAAACATGACATTACTCACAATCAGAAATCTAAGCCTACAGAATGTAAAGATTAAAAGAACAGCATTTTTCTTTAAATGAATGTAGTCAATGTGCTTATTAGTTTGCTGCAGCAGCAGGAGGGAGTGGGTGGGTATTTCAATGCTGGCACATTTCTATTTGGCAACAGTGAATAGCATGAGTGTTTGCAGATAGTGCTCTGTGGAATCCCCAGATTCTGCAGATTTCCCTACCAATTTTGTCTCAGATAATTAAGATTTTTAAATAATAAAAGAAAAAGTTAAAGAGGAAGTGCAAGCTCCAGCTGGATCAAATGAATTTTAAAAACACTTCAATTTTTTTTTTTACACAGTACTGCCTTCAAATTAAAAATTATGATTAAAACGCAATTTTGCTCTGAAAAGTAGCTATGTAAAAATGACACCTGCTTCCTCTGCTTCCTGTGTCTATCCAGAGTTGTATCTACTTACTTTAGTGATTTAAAAAATACTGTAGTGTGTATTAGTCTTTACAGCTGTTGACAGTGCAGAGCCAACATGGTTATGGGACAGTGAGCCAGATTGTTTCTGGTTCACACACCAACAAAACTTGTCCACACTGGGGATTTGCCTAATCGCAGCCATCTCCACCTCCACTGTCTTCAAATTCTGCCTTCTCTTTCAAGCAAGGGTAAACGCCACCAGCGCAAACAGCAGTTTTGCTTGTTTAGTGAGTCTCACCAGTTCAGCTACACCATTGCTTAGTCACTAATGGCTGTAATCATGGCAAACATCCAGCATAGACAAGGCCTCAGACCCTAGCCTTGCAAATTGGTCTCCAAAAGTGAACTTTGCGTCACATGGAGCTATTCACTTTAAAGAAGTGCAAGTGTAGAGGCTGTCTGCAGGATTGAGGCCTACACTTAGAGGGCCAAGGCTTCAGATGAAGGCAATGCGGTTTTTCAGAGATATAACTGAAGGCAGAATTTGAAGACACTGGAGTAGCACAAATGTAAAGAGGGGCAGAATTTTGGCCTGAAGACTCCTTATTAGTGGTGATGTTGCACAAACAGTATAGAACCCAGATTGACTTTCAGATCCCAGTTTGTTTACATTGTTTACATTACATTACATATGGTTTACATTAAAAACAACATCTTTTAATTTATTATCTGAGCAAATTGTATCAATAAGCCATTAAGAGAACAAGTCCTGCAAAGGGAAGAAGGAAAGTTCCGAGTCCTTGCAACAACTGAGCTCTACACATGCTTGACTAAACAGGATGTGACCAATACATTCTGAGAAATCTCCTTCTGTCCATCTAGAAAACCATCCCAAGGAAGAGGGGAAAAAAAACCCCAAACCATGCTCATGTGGTTCTTCTGCACTCCAGATAGAATTCTAAGGAATTCAGACGTGTCAACTTGATCATGGTTGTAGTGAGAGATGTGCAGCCACTTCAATAAAACCAGGTGAAGAGGCTTAAAATAGAAGGACAGAAAGGTGCCCATAGGGGAACAGAAGCCTGGCATTTTAACCATGGAGGCCATATACAAAACTATGCTTAACAACGATCAATAGATGTAGGATAGGTGCACAACTAGCCTGATAATAGCACCTAAGGTAAAAACATAAATCATAGCACTCACCTTTTCTACAGGTCCACTGCTACACGCTTTTATGTTGCACTGTCATTAGCATCTCTCACCTCACCTGGATCAATCTTTGGCCTTCACAATGTTCCAGTAGTATCATTATCCCAAAAAATTATCTACATATAATTTAGAACAGTGGTTCTCAAACTTTTGTACTGGTGACCCCTTTCACATAGCAAACCTCTGAGTGCGACCCCCCCTTATAAATTAAAAATAGTTTTTTATATATCTACCACCACTATATATGCTGGAGGCCAGGGCCCGCTCTACAGTTTTTGCCATCCCAAGCAGTGAAAAAAACTGTCGCCGCGGATGGCAAAAGGAAGAAGCTGCCACCAATTTGCCGCCATGGCCGACAAAGGGGAGAAGCTGCCACCGAATTGCCGCTGCGGCCGGAGGAACTTCCGCCCCTTTCTAACTGCTGCCCCAAGCACCTGCTTGGAAAGCTGGGACCTGGAGCCGGCCCTGCTGGAGGCAAAGCGGGGTTTGTGGTGGAGGCTGACAGCTCACCCCCCCCCCATGTAATAACCTTGCGACCCCCTGAGGGGTCCTGACCCCCAGTTTGCAAACCCCTGATTTAGAGCAAGATCTGGGATTTCACCAGTCAGTGTGCATGTCTGATAAAAGCATGCCAGAATTTCTTTACATGGTTATATTTCACTCACTTTATAATCACAGAATTTAGAGATGAGATAGTCCTAGTAAGTCATCTAGTCTAGCTCCTTTCCAGTGCAACATTGCATACTACCATTTCAAAATGTCCCAATCAATGATGTGTCCATCACTTTGGAGATTATTCCACAGCCAATGGATCTAACATTCAGGGAATCTGTCATGATATCCAGGCTTAACTTTCCTATTCTTAATTTCATCCAGGTTTGCCCACATTGATTACTGTAAATAATTTCTCTCCTTCCTCAGAGCTTAGCCACTCTTGTGTTCACACTCTTCAAATATTTGCAGACTGTACCTCCTCCCACCAAGTTACTCATGTTTAGCACTTTACTTTTTCCTCTGGAGTCCATCCTTCCACCCTTTTGGATATTTTTCTTGCTCTGGCATCTTCCTTTTGAAGATAAGGCTGTTCAGAGACTAGCTTTGGGGAGAGGCTTCGCAAAGACTGCCGTTATCAGAGGCAAGGGGGACTCCTGTGAACACCCACCACAAAGATGCCATCTTCTAAGGGTGAGAGACAGACATATACATTTTTAGATGTTTATCTTTAAAGTTCACCCATCACTAGTCTCAGTCTACAGAGAACAAATGGAATGACATGCAA